TCAGAAAAAGTGAGATGAAGCTCTCAGAGGCTTTAGGAGGGGGTTTTAGGAGATTAAAAAGTTAAGATAGGGGCTGAAGCTGATGCGTGAGGTTTGACAGGGAGGTTGGATGGGAACTTTGGATTTCGAGAAGCGGAAGTTGTTTCCAGAGGGAGGCTCGATGTTATACTGAAAACCTGGATGCTTTTTTAAAAATAAAAGTTAAATGCTTTGAAGTGAGTGATTTTAGTTTCACCAATATACCAGCTATATGGCGGCGGTCTGTAAATAATCGAGTCTGGATCAGACAATCCAGTGATCAACAACATGGGCATCGATCTACGCAGTTGGGATACGTTGACATGTGTCAACCAAGTCAGAGAGTCTGACCACCCGATCGCGTAGATGCTTTGGAGTCAGATTGGATGAAAATCAAATTATCAATTGACACTGGCCTCATGATGAGAAGCACAGGTTACCCAAGTTCCCTTGTAACACAGCACAGCGTTGAACACTTCCACTGGTGGCAGTGTGCCATGCTGAATGTAAACACGATACATACACGAGTAAACGATACTCTCAAAAAATCAAATTCCAAAACTGTTTCATTCTCAGCGTTTTTGCACTTTTTCACCTTTTTAAGTTTAAATTGGGACAACCAATACTGGTCCAGCAGTGTTTCGTCTTTAAATGTTGAGCCTCAACCGGAGCTTCTCACTGGTATTCAAAATATACACTATGATTTCTTTGTCCAAGTTTCACTTATCGCAGCCTTCCATTCTGTCCAGCTGTTTCGCATGAATAGTTAAGCCTGCTGAAATCCTATTTTGATGTTCACCAACTGCTTTCCCTTGTTAACTTCTTTTACCTTTTCGTTCAGTGTAAGCAAGAATTCCTCTGCCTGAGACAATCTTATAAGCGCAATTAACTTGGTTTTAATTTATATTTTAATGACTTAAAGAGGAAACAGAAGACTAAGAAGCTGTTGTTTTGTGTTACTTATGTTACTGTATATGTTCTGAAGACCTATTCATTCCAAAATGGTGATCATTTGTATCGGCCTCAGGTGCTTCTTGATATACATTTACGCCAATTGCAATCAACCAACAATTGTCTGTTTGCTCTTTAACACTGCTCAATTCTAGCTGTATGACGGCCGCTTGTAAGTGATCGAATCTGAAAGACTGAAATATAGGACAATATCGGACTATACTGCCTCTGAATTATCATATACTGATATTAGATTTATATACAGACAGTCTAACTCTGAAGTATAGGATAATATGGGACTATATTACCTCTGAATACATACTGATATTAGATTTAGATACAGACAGTCTAACTCTGAAATAGGATAATATGGGACTATATTACCTCTGAATACATACTGATATTAGATTTAGATACAAACAGTCTAACTCTGAAGTATAGGATAATATGGGACTATATTACCTCTGAACTGACCGACTGACTGAGTTTGGTTTTACTTTTAGCAATATTCCAGCAACTCACGATATCTTCAGATTGTGCCCATATATCTTCGGCGTGACGAGCCAACTCTTTAACCACTACTGAATACATACTGATATTAGATTTAGATACAGACAGTCTAACTCTGAAGTATAGGATAATATGGGACTATATTACCTCTGAATACATACTGATATTAGATTTAGATACAGACAGTCTAACTCTGAAGTATATGATAATATGCTATATTACCTTTATACAGATAATACAGACAGTCTAACTCTGAAGTATAGGATAATATGGGACTATATTACCTCTGAATACATACTGATATTAGATTTATATACAAATAATCTAACTCTGAATTAAAGGACAATATCGAACTGTACTGCCTCTGAATATATACTGATATCAGATATATATCCAGACAATCTAACTCTGGAGTAAAGGACAATATCGGAGTATATTGCATCTGAAGATATTGTTGCTATATGTTTATACAGATAATCTAACTCTGGACTAAAGGGTAATATCGGACTATATTAAATCTTGATATATTGATATTTGACTTTATTACAGGCAATCTGAGTAACTGATTTCAAAGTATATTTTATCTCTGCTGATTACTACTGAGCTGTAAATGGACTGGGTCTGTTGGTTTTACCGCTGCTAAGAATAATATTTCTATTTGACACGGTGTCTGACCAAACCTAGTCTGTCTCACAGTCCCTGAACCACATTATTTTCCCCACTGCCAAGCCCTCTCTGCAGTGCTAAAGCCCTAAATAAAGCAAGTCTAGATTTCCCCAGGTTCAGGAATCTCTGGTCTACCTAGGGCTCCTTTTCAATTTAAATGGGCTTGTTTGTTACTATCAAAATTATATATATTCAGAGACTAAGCCTTAGTCTAGACCAAACCCTACGAATACGGACACGGATATTTTTCACACATTATTACATAAATTTCCGGGTTAACAAGGTTGCAAAATACGCCGTGTTGGAAGCAATATATTTCGAGATGTTTTCTTTTCTGCACCGACGAGAAAATCCGAATGTATCATATGTTCTATTTTCCTAAAAACTACTAATCCTCAAATAAAATTTGATACGCTGTTTCCTTTCCTACATCATCCCGAACTAAACAAGGTGACCCGCACATCATCCTTGAGCAACAGATGGTTGGCCAAGGCGGAAACAGACGTTGTGGGGATGAGTACTAGAGAAGCCCCGTTTGTTTAGTAATCATAAAGATGATTAGTGTACAGCCGCAGTCGACGGTGTTAATGTATGGATCACAATCAGCGCCACCTGGCGTCTAGACCTTTCTAGACGTTTCGTCAAGCATCACGCAGTGCACCGGACCATCCAGATTCCCGAAGTCGGCCGAATGCTGCTTGTTTCAAAGAGCGGAGCGTTGACAGCTACACTGAGTCGATGGAAATGGGATAAGTGGAGACGGGAGGGGAACTATGACATGACGATGTTGTTGTCATTGACGATATCTGACACAAATTGGAAATGTTTACAAGGATTTGGGAAGGTTTCACTTCATGGGTATTCTTTCGTATGTTGTAACCGGAGAAATTACACAAACAAAATAGTGTGAAGTAATACAGTGATCAGCTGATCCTTACCGAACCTCTTCTGCCTCGGTACATCGCTGGCCTTTCTGAAGTGTTGCACCCGTAAAGGTCCGGGTTAGAATATTGGCCTTCAGTAACCCATGCTTGTCGTAAGAGGCGACTAACTGGATCGGGTGGTCAGGCTCGCTGACTTGGTTGACACATGTCATCGGTTCCCAATTGCACAGATCGATAGTCATGCTGTTGATCACTGGATTGTCTGGCCCAGACTCGATTATTTACAGACCGCCGCCATATAGCTGGAATATTGCTGAGTGCGGCGTAAAACTAAACTCACTCACTCTGAAGTGTTGCCGATACGCATTAGAAAGTGATTGAGGGTGGTTGATAACAGCGCTTTCAGCAATATCACGGCATGGGACAAAACTTGGCACATATTGTACCCATGTAGGGAGGTAAACCCATGTCATGGGCGTGACGAGCAAATTCTTTAACCATTACACACAGTAAAGACTGATCGTACGAGGCTATTTGTTGCTGAATTTGGTACACTTGTCAGGACTGGGTTAGTGAATCTTGTTTTAACACAGCAGACAAGAAGTATTCCACAGCTGTCTGGATCAGAGAGTTGACGAGCAAGGTCCACGCCGTCGGGGCACGTTAGACTAACGTTTATATAGTTTTAATAGATACAAATACTTCTTTTAAACTGAAAAGAAGCCCCATTTAGATCCTGAACCTGGTGAAATCTAGTCTTCATTTTGGGCATGAATACACAATGCCATTAAGAAAGTGGGCAAATGTAACATATGTTATAGTTGGGATTACACTTTCTTAGTAATAGAGTCAGGCGTCTGACTCTGAGGGTGTGGGTTCGAATCCCGCAAGGGACTCAACCCAACAAAAGTACTAGAATCTGTACTTTACTGAGAAAGAGTAATCCCAAATATAACATATGTTTCATTTAGGGCTTTAGCATTGCAACCAAAGGGCTGGGCAGAAGGGGAAATAATCTGGTTCAAGGACTATGAGACTCACTAGGGCACGATGACATCAAAGCCAGACATTGTTATTACTTCGTAAGTCGGTTCTTGTGTTTAGTTTCTTTGTTGTCAGTATATGATTGAGTCTGGCTCAAACAATCCGGTGACTGACGTCATGAGTACCGATCCGTGACATGATCCAGCCAACCATCCTCCAAGGATGAATAATGTTAATAGCTGATTCGTCACGAGTCTACATGAGGAAAACGTGTTATAGTTTCACAAACGCTGATTTTCTATTGTTCTTTGATCATAATTAGCTTGATTCTTCTGTGAAAGCTGAATGAGACGTTTGGGGTATACAAACATTCGTGACCAACTCGTGTTATTCCGGGACATGCCGAATGAAATTCGCGAGTGTTGACGAATGATCCATCGATAAGGGACGGGTCTGCTTGCCGGTTACGACAAAAGGCGAGTGTTGACGAATGATCCATCGATAAGGGACGGGTCTGCTTGCCGGTTACGACAAAAGGCGAGTGTTGAAGAATGGTATCATAGAAACAGACATGATAAGTATCGAGAGCTCAGTTGGGTTGTTAATTGGTGGTTAAATGGGGTGCCGGGTTAGAATTTCCACATGGGTACAGTGTTTGAAAGCGTTGAAATCCATCCTTTACCGTTTATTCCAGATGAAGATTGTCAACTCGAAATGACACCGAAACTGTCCGTGTCCGTTACAGAAAGTGGCGAGTGTTTGGCTGTGTCTTGGATTGAAATGTTTACGGTAATGGTGGTGCAGGTATCGCGCAGCCTCCATTACTCAACTCCAGTGCATGGAAATACGTCAATAAACGTGTGTGATATCTAGATATGACAACGCACCGCGAGACGAATCTCTCCAAAGTTTCAAACACTAGGCATATCTCAATTTCTATCGGTAAAAGTTACTCGCTCGGGAGAAATTCCGACATTTTTATTGGTACTAGAGCATGGCGCTTTCATCTGGAGTCAGATAGCGAGGGCCCGCGGGAGGCGGTTTATTTCGCCGATATGCGAATGCCACGGATACATGTCCGTATCGCAAAGGATACAGCGATTCCGGCAGCAGGGGGTCAGAGCACATCACTTGAGGCACGAGCCCCTGGGGGTGGGGGTAGAGGGAAAGTGGGGAAACTAGATGAAGACGGACACCTAGTATGAGAGTGGTGCACTATTCAGCTTTCAGTCTATGTGGTCTTACTTATGTTCACACAAAGCGTAGAGTTTAGGGGATCTATAAATTCCCTGAACCTTCCGTGCCGGAACTCTTTCAGTGTACTTTTTAAATGACTGATAGTCTGGGTTGAGACAATTTTGTCTGGTTCATATCGATTTTTGTGATATACAAGAAATCGTTCCGCCCTCAAGGTGCTAACTGCATGGTATGTGGTATTATATTAGATGCATATTATACTCGTTTCCTTGATTAGCACAATCACGCCGCTGCTTGTCAAGCTACGGCATCACGCTTGGTCACTGCGTTACCTCTGAGCTCGATGTGGCAGTTGAACTACTTCAGCTTCATTTGGTAGTTCCACGTAATAGCTTACATCAGGACTTCACGTCACAGTCCAATTGATCGATGCTCATGCTGTTGATCACTAGATTGCCTGGTCCAGACTCGATTACTTACAGGCCGCCGCCATATAGCTGGAATATTGCTGAATGCGGCGTAAAACTAAAATCTCACTTATTTACGTCACAGTTTCATGTCGCGGCTTTATCTCCGAGCTTTTCATCACGATATCACATGTCGGCTTCACGTCGCGGCTTCATCTCTGAGCTATACGTCACGATTTCACATGTCGGCTTCACGTTAAAACTTCACGTCGTTGCTTCATCTCTGAGTTTTACGTCACGATTTCACATGTCGGCTTCACGTCACAGCTTCACGTCGTTGCTTCATCTCTAAACTTTACGTCACGATTTCACATGTCGGCTTCACGTCGTTGCTTCATCTCTGAGCTTTACGTCATGATTTCACATGTCGGCTTCACGTCACATCTTCACGTCTCGGCTTCATCTCTAAGCTTTACGTCACGATTTCACATGTCGGCTTCATGTCACAGTTTCACGCCTCAACTTCACATTAACGCCACGCCACAACTTCTTGTAACACAGCTTCATGTCTCCACGTCACAGGGGCGGTGGGATAGCCAATTGGTTATAGTGTTCGCTCGTCACGCTGAAGACCCGGGTATTCCCCACATGGGTACAATGTGTGAAGCCTTTTTCTGGTGTCCCCAACCGTGATATTTCTGGAATATTGCTAAAAGCAGCGTAAAACTAAACTCACTCACTCCACGTCGGAGCTGCATATTGGATATTTAACCAGTAGGACAGGAGGGCACGTTGCTTCGATTTACTTTTTTCCACATTTTTACCTAAAAAGTACATTTTGAAAACTATTAAAAGTTAAGAACACTGATAACTGGAAGCCTTATACCTTCTATAAAACAAATACTCTTGTTTGTTTTTACCTGAGACGGGACTTATTTCTTGAATACCTGGAGTTACGGATGGCCTGTTCGTTAAAGACTTTTGGTCTGTCAGCACTAATACTTGGCTCGTATGTTTCACAAAAGTGGTAAACCTCCAGGGCCCTCCTTATAACTTCGTGCTCTCCTTCCTCATGGAGCTGACTCGCTGCAACATCACTCACTCATTCTTCACATGAACAATAAATACAGGAGAATATACAACTAAAACTTATTAACAAAACAACGATTTGTTTTACATTACTCTACTTCATGTGCCATGATTAGAACAACAATGATAATCGACTGTTGTTTACCTTTTCTTCAGTGGTATATAGTTTTGCTTTATAGGTTTACTGCATCTCTTGTCTGTTCTTGGTCTGGTGTGTCTGTGTACGCTACAGCTGCAGGTCTGTCAAACAGACCCTGAAACAAACATAGACTATGTGGCAAGTCTCGATATTGCCGCAGTTCTCCAAAGTCTCGAGACTCCTTTTATGATATTTTATGAATATGATTTAGGAACATTCTTTCTTCAAAAGATGATCATTTCAGAGACTAGATGTTAGTCTATGTGTCGGCATACTTCCCATGACAAGCTATTTCCGACGGGAAGCAGACTCTGATTTGAAATTCAACCAATCCAAACCACTCACCCACACGTGCACAAAAAGACCAACTAGAAATAGTAAGAGATCGTTAGCAGGGCCCAGGTATAAACAGGCAAACGTCCATCGCCAAGCTTTGATTCAAGGCCTGTTAACAAAGTTTTATTCAAGGGAATCAATGGGATTAAAGTCTCGGTTCAAAACTTTCGATTTCGCACCAAAATTCCCCGAATGTTTTTTACTCGAGTCTTAGCACAATGCGTACTTACACCCTCAAATTGGCCACCAAACGATAATTTGAAGCCCGTAAATGATCGATAAATTTCAAGATTTACAGCTTTAGCAAAGGAACTGCCAATCAAAGGACACTAATGTGCGTTATGCAAGGGGGACGCGTGGTAATTGGGGAAAATACACAGCGCCCTCTACTCAGGAAACGGATAATAGGACCGGAACTATTTTCACATGTGGAAGGATACGCAAGTAGTTTTTCATACGACTTGGGTATATAGGTAACCTTTTTCTGGAACCGAATCGTCTTCTTCACTTACATCATGTTTGGCTTTGTATGCCAAGATTTTATTTAGAAAACATGTAGCTATCTTCAGAGACGGATAGGCGGGATTATAAGAGAATTTGTCTGGCGGTGTTTGTATTGTAGTAAATGTCGGGCGCGTCTGGACATGGTATGGCTATTTAGGGGATTAGGTGAAGTCACCACGACATGCTTTCGTGGAGGAAGAAACTCGCTCTTTATTTGGGGAATATAATCAATCGTTAGAGGAGTATGTGAATGGGCTTACTGCTGTAATTCTCTTCCAAACTTTTAAGCAGAAGTATTTTGGTAATCAGTGCACTTTTGATATTTGTTTATCGCTGAATGGTTTCTCAGAATGTGTTATTAGGGAATACGGGTTTTAGTCATATGCAGAGATATTGAAGTCAAATCAAGGATTAACATTTAGTTCATGTTAATTTCAGAGCTGAGGCAATTTAGACTCGACAAATCGTTCTGTACTCTAGTCTAGTCTAGTGGAATTCTTTTCTCTTCAATATATTCTCTAGGGTCAAAGAGACCGATTTGTCGAGTCACTGCGGGGACACAAGAACCGTGTCTCTGCAGAGTGTGGGACATGGGTAGCACGGTCATGTAAGGCGCCGTAAGTCGCTGTGCAGAGTTGCGTCCCTTGGGATGTTAGAAACCCATGATCGTGGGGCGAATCCCAGTTCGCTTTTGATGTTTCTAGGTTTGACAGCACCATGCCGTGTGTTTGCCAGTACCAAACGTTGGTTTCGGCAAAGTGGTAAACATCTACCACCTGCATTTCTTCGGACTTTCCTCCCTCATTTAGCAGACACCCCGTGATATAACTTGTTGAGAGCGACGTTAGACTCTACTCACTCACCCTACGTAGTGCAGAATATAAACGTGTTTTGGTTAGACGAGCAACGCTTGTACCAGTAGGATACAAAGCCGACTAAAGCTGTTGTGAAACAGAGCAAGTTTGTCCGTGAATGTTCACGAGGACTCTGCAGAAGCTTTCGCCTTCTCGGTCAGTGTGTTTTAGCAATAGGTTTTGTGATTGTTTTTATTACAGTGTTTAAGAGCGAGTGTATCTGTGTATATGCGAGTGGTGAGGGGTTGACTGCACCTCTTAGCATTATTCCAGCATCATAACGGTGAAGGACACCAGGAATGGGCCATTCTCCCATATGGTGAACTGAACTTCTAACATGTCTTCGGAACGGACGAGCGAACGCTTTACCCATTAGGCTATGTCCACCTGCAGAGATCTGCTCGAGACTGCGAGCCACAATAGGTGGTCCTTGACAATTGGATGTAAAATACAGAAACGACGTTACCCAGACTGTATTACTATCATCTGTTGGTTAACGTTTTCAGTTTAGAAAATAGGCAAATGTGATCACTGTGATCGTGGTTCCGAAGTAATCCATATTTGTATCCATTTGATCTCTGTGTGTATTAGTCGGTAATGTGGGGGAATAAAAAGTAACCTGTAGGATGAAAAAGTGTACACTTGGTAACTGGGTTCCCCTGAACATACAAACTTCATTCAAACGTAATTAGGTCGACACAAACAGCTACATTACCATGGAAACAACATTTCTTTCTTATTTCATTTTAGCCACCATCAAACATGGGTGATACTTTCTTTGCCCAGGCAGTAGATGTCTATGGTTCCGCAGCATCAGATGTTTATGGAATTTTAGCCCCACAGCCTCTTTGCGGCCATGTATCTTTCATGGTTTGAAATTGAATAATACTGACTGAGTTTTGGTTTTACGCCGCTTTTAGCAATATTCCAGCAACATCACGGCGGGGGACACCGGAAATGGGCTTCACACATTGTACCCACGTCGAGATTCGAACCCGGGTCTTCGGCGTGACGAGCCAACCCTTTAACCACTAGGCCACCCCACCGCCCCGAATAATAACAGTAATGTTATCAACTGACTGATTTCTGTAAAGTGGGATGTACACAGTATTTATTATGAAAATATATTTGACGTAAATCCTTACAAACAAACAGTGACGCTCGTTTTCTGCATATACATGATTGCACACTTTATACATTCTTTCTCTTAGTACTTTCTGTTTTTCTACCTGTTTCTATGTTTGACATAAGGGAAGTACACTGAACTAACGCTCGTTGTTTACTGTAATGCACTTTACCTAAGGCTCGACACAGAAAACGTTTTAATCAGTGAATAGGACAATGTTTTAGAACCACCTGTTTGTGAGCATGCCAGTCTTGTTCATAAAATATTTTCTTATGCGTCATGCGGGTTTCGATTCCCATTTTCTTTGCTCTTCCCATGATCCCACTGTTAAGCCCCCAGTCAAGACGCCCCACCAAGAACCCCCGGGAGTTAGGGGGGACAAGTCCTACTGGTACAGGTAAGGGTGGTAGGTCTGTCGCACAATGGTGGGTCATTCGCACTCTGCGTCAGAAAAACGACACCAATTACGACAATTAGTGATTACGACATGCTGCAAACCCACGTGCGGGTTTAATAAGGTGTTGGCTAGAGTATTGTCAAGTTGGCATGTGGATGCTGTTGATAACGACCGACTGTTTGGTACAGTTTCTACTCTTAGTCACTTCCTGCCTTTACAGCAGAGTTCTCTGTGATGAATGGATTCTCACAGGAGGTGTGAAACATGTTTTTATGTCTTGGGTAAACAATCATTAATCTTCTTAAGACAACAAACGGCGTTACATTTTCAAGAAATGCAGACTGACGAAAGATCACATTCTGAATCGGTTCTCTTGACGAGTGAATTATTCCGAAAAGGAAAACAATGTAACGGGGTATTGACACGTGACTTCAGCTGAACGTGCTCATGAAACCAGCTTCGTCCAAGTTCCCAACACGTTCATGCTTATAAACTATCAAACATTCGGTCATTCCAAATTTCATCTTTGGCTTTTGGTATCTGGGCACATGGTCAGTTAGGAAGTGACGACAGACATGAGAGTTATGTCCCTTGTCTAGGACAGGCGAATGGGGTTATGGAGGAAGCGTATGGGCAATGACTTGCCTTTTATCATTTATCATTTGCCATTTATGTTCCTACTTTTATCCAGATGCGCTGGTTGTGGTTATTATTAAATAATATGCAATACTGGCTGGTATTATCGCAAAAAAAGTTCGTCATTAGTTGTGCTTTGAGTCGATGATGTGTACACACATCATGTATACAGGGCCCCACTTCCATAAAGCGTTGGTAGCGCTGCAAGAAGCAGCTGTATGTAGGAAACTGTTGAGGATCACCACTACGATCACTTTGTGGATCGGGGCCCATAAAGGTTCGACTACGCGTATGTACGGTGTGGGTGGCGGTGGGGTAGTCTAGTGGTTAAAGCGTTCGCGCGTTACGCCGACGACCCGGGTTCGATTCCCAACATGGGTACAATGTGTGAAGCCCATTCCTGTGTGATATTGCTGGAATATTGCTAAAAGTGGAGTAACACTAAACTCACTCACACATCTTCCTGGTGGGAGCTCTGCAGGGTGAGGCGGGTTGTGTGCAGGGTGAAGTGGGTTTTGTGGGTGGTATGCAAGGTGAGGTGATGGTATGCAAGGTGAAGTTGGTGGTATGCTCGGTGTGGTGGGTGGTATCCAAAGCGAAGTGGACAGTATGCACAATACGGTGAGTTGTATGTAATGTGAGTGAGTTCAGTTTTACCCCGCACTCAGCAATATTCCAGCTATATGGCGGCGGTCTGTAAATAGTCGAGTCTGGACCAGACAATCCAATGATCAACAATATGAGCATCGATCTACCGATGACATGTAGTAGAGGTGGATGGTGTGCACGGTGAGGTGTGTGGTACGGAAGTAGAGGTGGGTGGTATGCAAGGTGAGGTGTGTGGTGCGGAAGTAGAGGTGGGTGGTATGCAAGGTGAGGTGTGTGGCACGGAAGTAGAGGTGGGTGGTATGCAAGATGAGGTCTGTGGTGCGGAAGTAGAGGTGGGTGGTATGCAAGGTGAGGGGTGTGGTACGGAAGTAGAGGTGGGTGGTATGCAAGGTGAGGTGTGTGGTACGGAAGTAGAGGTGGGTGGTGTGTTACGTGAGGTGTGTGGTACGGAAGTAGAGGTGGATGGTATGCAAGGTGAGGTGTGTGGTACGGAAGTAGAGGTGGGTGGTATGTAAGGTGAGGTGTGTGGTACGGAATTAGAGGTGGGTGGTGTGCAAGGTGAGGTGTGTGGTACGGAAGTAGAGGTGGGTGATGTGTAAGGTGAGGTGTGAGGTGTGTACGGAAGTAGAGGTGGGTGGTGTGCAAGGTGAGGTGTGTGGTACGGAAGTAGAGGTGTGTGGTATGCAAGGTGAGGTGTGTGGTACGGAAGTAGAGGTGGGTGGTGTGCAAGGTGAGGTGTGTGGTACGGAAGTAGAGGCGGGTGGTGTGTTACGTGAGGTGTGTGGTACGAAAGTAGGGGTGGGTGGTATGTAAGGTGAGGTGTGTGGTACGGAAGTAGAGGTGGGTGGTGTGTTAGGTGAGGTGTGTGGTACGGAAGTAGAGGTGGGTGGTGTGTAAGGTGAGGTGTGTGGTACGGAAGTAGAGGTGGGTGGTGTGCACGGTGAGGTGTGTGGTACGGAAGTAGAGGTGGGTGGTATGCAAGGTGAGGTGTGTGTGCACGGAAGTAAAAGGTGGGTGATATGCAAGGTGAGGTGTGTGGTACGGAAGTAGAGGTGGGTGGTGTGCAAGGTGAGGTGTGTGGTACGGAAGTAGAGGTGTGTGGTATGTAAGGTGAGGTGTGTGGTACGGAAGTAGAGGTGGGTGGTGTGTAAGGTGAGGTGTGTGGTACGGAAGTAGAGGTGGGTGGTGTGTTACGTGAGGTGTGTGGTACGGTAGTAGAGGTGTGTGGTGTGCACGGTGAGGTGTGTGGTGCGGAAGTAGAGGTGGGTGGTATGCAAGGTGAGGTGTGTGGCACGGAAGTAGAGGTGGGTGGTGTGCAAGGTGAGGTGTGTGGTACGGAATCAGAGGTGGGTGGTATGCAAGGTGAGGCGTCTGGTACGGAAGTAGAGGTGGGTGGTGTGCAAGGCGAAGTGGGAGACGTTCATGGCGAGGTGGTTGATAAGCACGGTTTTGTAAGGCTGGCCTGCACGAGCGACTATAGTGTGGCAACAGACAACAACACAACAGTGTTACAATTTGCAGTCATCTTGCAGCATTCACGGTACCTGGTTCAGAGCAACATGTAATAATCTATGTGATACATCCTTTGCCAGTTTAGAAAGACGCTACCGATGCGTGTAAGCTTTTAATTTGAAGAAAAAAACAAAATGAGTGTTTTATAGTCTACAGCTGCGCTTACTTCAGAGAGCCTTGTGTTTTGATCTTTGTCCAAACATCTGCCCGTTTCTACAGTAGAAATCTCATTCTCTTCGTCAAAGCAATCAATTCCACCCTGTAAAGTTTATTTATGTAGCAAAAGTGACTCAACTAGTTTTAATTAAACCCGAGAGTTTGTTAGTTTAATACTTAACAAAGTATTTATTTGTGGGTCGTCAGGTTTATCCGATGAACACGAGATGTGGATTGCGGAGAAACTTAACGACCTTCAAGTAAACAACCTGAAAGCTATTAAACTTTTTTCGGTAGGAAGTTTCATAGCCACATACGTTAAAGCAGGGATTTAGGGAGTATTGTTTGATATCTCTTATATCTGTTTGATACTGGATGTAATAAGACATTCTTGAATTTAGAAAAAATACAATCGTTACGTTATTACGCAATTTGGACAAGCTTGATAGTGGCACCTATTAAACACTGGAACAAATAACTAACACTGTCATTGTGAGATTGTTCTAAATCACATAACACTCGATTAACGGTACTTCACATCTTTCCAAAGATGACTGTCATAACGTGTACCACAATGCAGTCTGGTTCCCTGGGCTGGTTGCGCATGCGGTGTTTCTGGCCAAGTTCGCCATCCGCTAATTTCTTGGACTTACCTCAAAGTCAAACCCCTAAAAATGGATGTATATGTATTGCTAAATATGTTCCCAAAGCAAACCCTTCCATGAATTTACTCTTTGTACATGGATAAACTGTAATTAGACGTTCCTCAAAGTGGAATTTTCAGAAACAGTCTACACTTTGTTATTTTAGTGAATACCGAGTTTCCGGTCTTTGCCGGACATGTCCGAGTTTTAGCGAATGGCTCCTAGGGTAACTGTCATGAACGTTTGTCTGATGGCACACTTTTCCACTCCATCATGTATCTTCAATAGATATATATATATAGTTTATTAACACTTTCTTTTATCCGAAGCCTAAATTATCACCGAATATAGCCCGTGATCAAGTGATCAATTTGAAGGAGCTACTGTCTACGATATCTGTAAACTGAGCACAGATATGGAAGTGCGCATACACGTACTGGAACCAGTTACAGATAAAGGAGCTACTTCAGTCTTGAACTGAGAGACGAAAGTCCAACTCTTAACGCTGATGCTTGATTGGCCTGGCAAACAATACGGCCCAGGAGAGTTTGTACATTGAAGTAAAATGTCATGTTTCGCTGGCCTCAGACACACCAGGCCATAAAAGATATAGGATTTACTCTGATAAGTTTGGTGGATATTAACATGGTATGTCTGGATGTCGCGGCATGGTTAGATCGGCACACTTTATGATATACGCTGTAGGGAGAAGTGGTCCCCAAGTCGCTACTATAAGAGTCAGAGATGCCTGTAAATGTCCATCGTTTTGCAGACGCATGGCCCATCAACGGCAAATGGATAAGCTTTAGAGATTTCTTTTCTCTCGACTGAGCCAACATTCCGTATGTTCTCTCAAGACATGTGGATAGTATGTAGACATTTGGATAGTATTTATTTGTGGATCTTTATAATAAATATTGAATATGTTCTGAAAAGCCACAACGCAGACAGTGCATTTCGAAAATGTGTGTAAAGGACATTGGTGTGCATATACACTACCGGTTAAAAAGAAAATGGTTATTCAGTTGTGGAGGGGCGGTGGTGTAGTCTAGTGGTTAAAGCGTTCACTCGTCACGCCGAAGACATGGGAACAATGTGTGAAGCCCATTTCTGGTGTCCCCCGCTGTGATATTGCTGGAATATTGCTAAAAGCGGCGTAAAACTAAGCTCACTAACTCGCATGTATTTGATACGGGAATCAGAGATGTGTTTTTGGACAGTTTGGGGTGTGTCGGCGTTTTGATAACGTTTTTTTTCCGTGGAATTTGGATTTATCAGTTTCAGGTTGGAGGGGAATAGATTGGCCTATTTAGGATTATCTGCTGTTTTGATTACATCACGGATATTACGGTGATTACAATATGAATTGTTAATTCTACATAATTAGCATGGTATTAAGTGGTATCAATGTTTGTAGAATACGTACATGTTTAGGGGAGCCCTTTGTTACAACGAACTCTCCTAACTTTGTCACCTATGTCAACTATAGACGTTAGGTCCAGGACAATTGTGAAAGGCGTCTATTTCGCAATGCAGAGTTGCGTCCCTTGGGCGCGCCAGGAATTGATCGTGGGTCGACAGTTTCTAGGTTTGCTAGTCCTTCACCGTGTGTTTCACCAAAGAGGTAAACGTCCATGACCTTCATCACTTTGTGCACTTCTCTCCCGTCAGCCTGACGCGTCGTGATATAAGTGAAGTCTTCACTCATGTACATACATGATTACGCTTATGTTGAGGCTGGTGTGCCAGAAGAGTGTTTACAAGAATTCATTGACATACATCTTGGTGGTCCAATGTATTCAGGCTTCGCGATTCGTCAAGCGTGAAGTTGCGCCCGACAATTGTGTTAGGATCCGATGAGGTTTAGTTGGACTCCTTAATTCTTCCTGATGCGTAGATCTATGCTCATGTTGTTGATCACTGGATTGTCTGGCCCAGACTCAATTATTTCCACACTGGAATATAGCTGAGTGCGGCCTTAAACAACAAACAAACATGCATTATCCTTTTGTATGACTCTTGTGTTATGTGTACCAAACCAATGTTAAAAGTTTTGATAAAGCGGGGAACGCCCTGTGTAACATTTAGCTGACGCACAACAGTATAGATAAAACCTGAACAAAAATCAGTATAATAAAAGCAAAGCCTGAAAACATATACCGGTGTATGGTCTCTGTCAAAGCGGAGTCAAACCCAATCCACTCACCCACTCACATAAAGTTTATTCAGGGTCTTTCCAGTCTCTTAAAGCTTTAATAGCCTCTTTGATGTATCCGAAAACATAGAACATTTACGATCCATTCATCATGAGCCAAATTTGTGGATGCTAGTTTACCTACAACTACTTGAAGTCAACAACCGACTTATATCCGACGCTGGCATTAGTGTTTATTTTATGTGTAATTTAGAAGAGTACACGAAACAGAGTTCCTTTCTACAGCATTGCAAATGTTCACAGAAGGCCATTTTCTACAAACGGCAAGTATTATTAGAGCGTAAAATTGTGAATTGTGAAAAAATGGGCAATAACGCAAGCCTGATCATGCAAGAGGAAACTGATCTTGAGGAAAGCGTTATGTCCATTTGGGTATCAACGATTGGATGCAAAGGGCACTTAGCAGAAATACACGCCTTTAACAGCTGAACATGTAGAAAAAAATGCCCTGTATCCATCAGAATAACTTGAAAGGTCAAGGTGATAAATGAATGTATGCCGTAACGGCTTTAGAAAATTAGAGCTGAGAGGTTTATGGGCCATTTACAGCTAAGACGACATTTGTTGGAGCGGCTCTCTCAAGTGGAATTCTTCTCAATCTGCCATAATAGCACGCAGTGTTCGGAGCTAATTAGAAGCAACGCTAATGATGCCATTGCAACCCTGCGAAGAGCCCATTAAGCACAGGTGTGACCGATACTGTTGAGGCTTTAACTAATTTATGCAAGGTCACAGTTCGGAGGTGATATACCGGAAACTGGCGACGAGAGTATGAATGCGTCAGGACTTATTATTTGAATGTTTTTTTCTATTTGAAGAACAGACGGTGTTTTAACCATGGTTAAAAAATGACCCCCATTCAACCTTTAATCTATTTTTTTAATGTTTTTACACTTACATTGAAGTAACGATAACGACAACATATTGATATTTGTCTGAAGAATCATTTCATGAAATTAGAATGGTGATGTCTGTGAACGCGGTGTGTGAAATACTTTTTCTGTCAACACTTGACTGCCGGTTCATGTAGACAAAGTTTTGCCATCAAAATTTAAGATTAAATTAGTCAGTGTTTATTTGTACCCTTCCAAATAGGAGAAAATTGCATTACGTTTCAGCAAGATTAGAACAACAAACCTGAGTCAATATGGAACAAGCTTGAAATTATATATTTGAGACGGGAAAGGACGGTTATTTACAATATATTTCACTAGAAAGAAAATTAGGATATCCATTTTAGACATTAACTATCCAGGAAAAAAGTAACCACGCACACGCGCATATCCTGGGGTGGGAAAGAATGGCTACAGACGTGATATGGTCTATGTTAATCACTGCAAATGTCAAGCATGAGCTTGTGTGTCAATATGTCCGGTGTTAGATATTTGAGATAAGTATCACATGATTAATGGCTGTCAACTGGCCTTGTCTCTTTGTGTCGTAAAGGTCCCCTGAATGAGTCTGTCTCCCAGAACCTAGAGAATATAATGATAAAGGAGCCCGACTCAAGTCTAGAAGGATTGGGCAAGAAATGTGCAGCTGGTCTGGTCTTCTTTATATTAATTTTGCTTCTTAATAGATACATAGATGTCCGTCCACGCCTCAGTGGTGTAGTGCGTAGAGAGGCTACACGTTCAGCGGAACCTCGGTGGTTCGTTCCCCAGCCGCGTCATTCCAAAAGAGTGAGTGAGTGAGTTTAGTTTTACGCCACACTCAGCAATATTCCAGCTATATGGCGGTGGTCTGTAAATAATCGAGTTTGGACCAGACAATCCAGGGATCAACAACATGAACATCGATCTACGCAATTGGGATACGATAACCTATGTCAACCAAGTCAGTGAGCCTGACCACCCGATCCCGTTAGTCGCCTCTTACGACAAGCATGGGCTACTGAAGATCAATTCTAACCCGGATCTTCACGGGTCAATTCCAAAAGATGGTACTTGTTGTCACTCTGTCTGGCACTAGGATTTTAGGGGCATAACAACACAAAGACTATCCGTCTTGGAGTCAGTATACTGACCTGGGTGCCCATGTCAGACATATGCTTGGTCCGGAACAAGCAGCTACACGCACAAACATGTGTACTCGCCGGTATATGAGTGATATAATCAGCAACGCGACGATTAACCATATTTAACTTCGCCTCTTTCTTACAATTGCAAGTATAGACTTTAGACTTACCAATGATAAATTAGTCAAAATCCCAGTGTACAAACTTCAAGTGAAAATCTCCATATTCTAAGAGGGTTTTTTCACTATCTACCTTCACATGCCTATATCCCTGTTTTCAACATCAGCTTGTGTTAAAACTTTCTCATGTACAATGTGTTAAAATATAAGACAAACACACCCCATTAAAACGTCTAAGCATCACGTTTTACGCATTTCTTAGATTATGCAGATCCCATTAGCCACGCGATCATGTCTCGCCATGTCTGATCGCTCAGAACTGATCGAGTGCACTGACCAATCATATCATCAATTGCTGGCCATATCAGCCAATCAGGATTCGTCTCTGATGGAGCCGAAGGCGTTGTATATTATCGATTCTCTCCGGGCACCACGAGCTGGAAAGTTATGTAATAAACAAGCACAGCTGAAAGCTTCAGGGCCTATTAAGACAACTTCTGTAAAAAGACATTATCTTTGTGTGTTAATTCCGGACGAATGAATCTTGTTTTACGCCACAGGTAGCAATAACTCAACACTATCACAGTCGATCTGTGCGTTGTTTTCTGAAG